TTTATTTCTCCTCTTCGAAACACCGGTGGAGACGTCACATGAAAAGAGTGGAAAACTTGTCAAGGAAGCAAGTTGCGAGAACAAAGGGTGGAATTTTTATTCCCCTCAACCTTTGCTGACAAAACATCTCCGATAGTAGTAAACAAGGGGAACAACACAAGTGAAGAAACTCAAAACACAAGGAAGGGCAGCGGGTGGGGGAAACATCAGAGATCTCAGATGGTTGGAATATCTGCATAGATTAGGAGCAAAAAGACAATTAAAGAACAATTTTAGTTAATTTGGGAATCATTTTAAATTCCAAGACTGCTTTCTTACAGAAGTTACCTGGGAAGCATTGCTGTAGCTTTGGGCTGATGTGTAAGATTGAAACAGGTCCCGTGATCCAACCCAAATGATCTTTCATGTTTTTTTATATTTAATAAAATACTTAATGTTATTGAATAATTTAGGGCGCGTGAAAAGAATTCAGAGTGAACATAGTTTCGGATACGCCAAAGTTTGGGGTTTGTGGAAATCGATTTTACGATAGACGCCAGGAAATGTTTCCGTACGCAGAGAGAAATTAACAGCTGGAAGAGGTTATCACTTAGGGTGTCGGATCCCAGGACACTTGACTCATTTAATGGTTCGATGCTGTAATGGAAAGAGTAAATCTTATCATGGGCACTAAATTATTCAACACCGTTAAGTATTTTTTTTTTAAAAATAGCTTTTTTTTTTAAGCTGTCCGGGACACTAACCCGCTTGAAGGGCGCCATGTAAATGCAAGTTGTTGTTGTTGAGTCGGATTGGCTTCCTGGAAGGATGAGGTCAATTGGGCCAACCATAGATTATCAGAACTTCTCTCGAATCCTTTGGGTTATTTATGCCCTTGAGTTCTTGCGAGATCAGTGGATGGGAAGGTTCAACAAAGGTTGGAGCGAGATAGAGAGATAGGGAGATAGAGAGAGTGAGAGCAAGAAGGAGGGCAGTTTAATGCCAGGTCTAGACTTTCCTTGCAATGTAGAGCAAACCTGTTTACTGGTGAAACTGTTTACTGGTAAAATACTGATGTGGCAAACTGCTCACTACCTTTTGAACTAATATCATGAGCCCTACAAAGAACCTGGACCGTGACAAAGTAATTTGGAATTTTTACAGAGCCTAAACTTTTGCTGAAAAATGCATACACAATATAACCGGTAGATAGCAAGAGCACGAAGTGAGTTAAGGGTTTGGGCTGAGATGTGCCCTTGATTAGACAACACGCGTTCAGGCGTCTTATCTCACAGCGTTTAGAAAGTTGCGTGCTCGGAACATTATAACGAATGAGTCTAATGGGATAAACATGGGTGGACCATGAGACTTTGAACCGCAATTAATATAAACTCCGCTAATAGTCCGTGTGACAAGAAGAATTGGACTCAGTGTCACTCATCAAATCAGCTGAACGATACAAGTCACAACAGTCACAGGACTCACAGAGGCAGGAATTGGTTGTGTTCTCCCAATGGTGTTGTCCCGCTCTGTTTGACCAGGGACTTCAATGAGATCAAGAGACAGGCTTGGAATTTCCCAATTGTGCAGCATGTCTTTACTCCTCTCCATTTCTTTATCTTTTGTTAAATAAAGAAAACAAAGAACATTGCGCACAGCAGTGTCCCGTAAACAGTCGTGGCCAAATTATTTTTTATTTAATTGCATTTTTGAGGGGATTATTACACCCAGAAAAGCGAACCGCCATCCGGGTTCCTACTTACTGCTGAGTAAATAGAAAGGTGTGGTGTAAGGAAACGTGCCTAAGGTTTCGCCCTGACCAGCCCGGGAATCAGACCCAGGTCCTCTCGCTTGAGAGGCGAGCTCGCTATCCACTACACTACGGGGACTTCACGGGTATGAACGCTTCAAGGTTATGGACACTGGATTGCAAATAGAAATGGGAACAAGGCAAGTTGGTAAGAAGACCTTTTATCTAAGATGTACAGATAATTCCTGTACTTGGGGAATCTCCGTAGGAGTCAGACAGACAGACACAAACACAGAAGACACAGGCAGACAGACAGACAGACAGACAGACTCACTCACACAGACAGACAGACACACTCACACAGACAGACAGACAGACCCATATACACACATGCACACACAGACAGACAGACACACACAGTCAGACACACACAGTCAGACAGACAGACAGACGGACAGGATCTAACACAGGCAGCCAAGCCCGTCACTGTGAAGGGAAGAGACTTGGGCGAAAGGAGCAGGTTTTTAGAAAAGTTTATTTTTAAAGATCATTTTTTTTAAAAAAAAACCAGTATCAGTTTTGATGACAAAACACGTCGACATTTCATTCATAATTTTGTGCCAAGAATTGACTTTGGAAAAAAATGTCTCGTGTGTTTGACGCAGCACCTTTCACGTCAGGGGAGTGCCTCAAAGCACTTTGCTGCATTGTTAATCATTTAAGATTTAACAAATACATTTAACAATATTTAATAAATAAACATTGACATATACACAGCATATCCTGTGAAGTGCTTTGAGACGTCTCAACGCCGTGATGAGGCACTAATGCAAGGAGTATTATTATGATTATTATTATTAATATTATTATTTTGGCGGCTCTACCACACAACCTACTGCTGTGCTGCAAATGCACATTTCTATGGCTGGCTGTACCTCCCCCCAGTCAAAGTAAATATCATAACCGTGCTCCAAGAGAGAAAAAAATATAACTTTGCATACATTTTGCTCAACAAATGACTTTCATAATAGCTCGTCATTGTGGAATATTGTTTAGGCAGCAGCTTCTTCTGTTTAAGTTAATTTGGGAGCTGAATGAAATGGAGCATTTATTTCAATGGAAAATATTGACACTGGTTTTAAGTACAAATGAATGTCATGACCTCAAACAGCATGGGCTGTGCCTGCCTGTGGGATGATGGTGTGCGAGTACGTGTGTGTGTGTGTGTGTGTTTGGTGGTGGTGGGTGGGGGGGTGTGGGGTGGGGGATGGGGGTGAGGAGGAAGCGTGACTCAGAGTGGTCTGAGCGTTGGTAAAGAACTTGTTTACCCACAAAACAAGAAACACTCGGCACTGCCAACGAAGAATTACTTTCCACAACACTTCGTCAATTAGTGTTGAGGCTCAGGCACCCGCCCCCATCCTCACTGCTAACCACTGGAAGCCTTGGATACAGCCATCAATAATATAATAATATAATAATAACCCTTGCATTTCGTGTCTCGAAGGAGGACATCTCAAAGCACTTCACGGGAATTACTGTAAAGCGCAATGACTAGCGTTCCGAGACGCTATTCGTGAATGGCAAGCAAACACAAGCTGTTGTTGCCATTGAATATTTTCTAGGTGAACCATCTATTGACCGCCTATCTAACGTGTACATGAAAAAAGCTCCCTCGTTCCTGGTCACTTCATTCTATTTTTAATCTCCCGAAAATGATAGCAATAGCAGTTGACCTCTAAGAGGAAAATCACCTTTTTTTTCTGTTTTTCCCCTCTCTCTCTCCCTCTCTCTCTCCCACCCCCCACCCGCCCCCCCCCCCACCCCCACCCCGCTCTTTTTTTTTTTGCGCCACAGGTAAACCACGACGCCAAACATGGTGAGAATAAATCGAGGCCAAACACGAACACTTGGCACCAACTCTCAGGGCTCTGGTGGTGGTGGGACGGTGGAGGGTGTAGAGCTTGGGGGGGGGGGGGTAGGGGTGGGGGAGGCGGTGGGTGAGGTAGTGGGGAGTGGCGGAAGGAAACGCCTTAGAAGTCTCCTCAGATGTTGTGTTCCCATTTTCTCCTGGAGCTACTCATTTCATTGCACGTCGAATAGCCAGGTAACTGACACCACACACAGTGCAGGTTACGTTCAACAACTCCGAAAACCGGTCCTGGGACATGGTAGAAAGCACTGCCAGAGCGGATAAATCAAACCAGTTTATTTCTTTTTCTTTACTGCCCCTCCATCTCCCCATCCCCCCCCCCCACACCAACCCAGACCACCCCCCCCCCCTCACACACACACATGCACACACACCCCCACACACACAACATTGCCTTTAGTTACAGCACATCCGATTACTGTCTCGTAAACTATTTCAAATAAATAAATATCGTATGACAAGAACGCACCAGCCCCGAACAATAGCTGTAACTGGATCAAGAGAGAGCTCCACCTCACAAGATGCTAATTGGAACTGCACACCCTTTACCTCGGAGCTCTTCGTGTTGCATTGCGTTGATCAGCCTTGGAGCGTTCGCTTGGAACTCGTCTCAAAAAGCTAATTCTTATTAAAAACCAAACTAAAGGCCGGTGCGGACTGCGTGCGGGAATTACCCCCTCGTTTCGTCCAGTGACCGTCCTCTCAAACCGCTTAGAGGGTCTCGTCGGGGTGTTTAGCGCCTTGGGACGTCCTCCTGACGCGAAAGGCGCTATGCAAACCTTACTTGTTGTCGTTATTGTTGTCTACCCCACACCGCCCTCCCCGCTGTTTAAAACTCCCCCCCCACCCCACCCACCCACCCCGAGAAATGGGTCACGACTGCAAAAGAAAACGTCACCTCCACTTTTGAAGCAGCAGTTTCCGCAGTTTTGGGGGAGGAGACGGCAATAATAATAATCCAATAATAATCCTTGCATTGACACAGCGCCTTATCACGTCTTCGAGACGCCTCAAAGCGCTTCACAGGATATTCTTTAAAGTGTATTGACTGCGTGTGTATTGTGGGCGAAACCCACTGTATCAATTGCAAGGATTATTATTATTATTATTATTATTATTGACATATGATTTCCCATTTCCCTCCACCAAGCCCCAATATATCCAGGCAACCCTGGTCTCTTCCCCAGCAATTTGCTGCTGTTTGTTGATGATTTTGGTTCCCTGACACCAAATGACTCTTGTATCACATCCATTCCCCCACCCACTCCTCCGAAAAAAAAGGTGGGGGGGTGAGGGGGGAGAGATTTACGTAAGCAAAACAATAATCCCCACGCACAATCAGCAATCGCAGCTGCGTTTGTCTGGTGTTTGGTTGTGTCGTAGGGTCACGGAGTCAGTCAAGTAATAATCTTTGGCTTCTGAATCCTGTGGAGAAGGGAGTGGGAGGGAGGGAAGGAGGGAGGGAGCGAGGGAGGGGGTGGGGAGGAGGAGGGGAGAGAGAGAGAAAAAAAAAAGAAGTGATGATGATAGTAAGAAAGTATTGGAAATCCGAAATAAAAAGAAACTTTTAAAGGCGTCGGCCTCTGAAAGAGAAAGATAGGTCAACGCCTGAGCTTATAAAATAGCAATATTATTATTGTTATTAATATAGGAATAGGAGGGGGCCATTCAGCCAGTCGAGCCTGTTCCGACAGTGTTACTGTATTAATCACGGCAGATCTTTTAATTCCAATTTTTCCACACCCTGGAGTATCCGCAAGTGTTTGGTAGCCTCTCAATACATGGTTTGCAAGGACAAGGTAATGGGACTTGATTCTCCAGGTGAAAGTAGACGGTACCCCTGGTTATGCTTCTATCTGGGCTTACCGGGCACACACGTATGTACACACAAGCCATTTACACATCACACCATATCATACACAGCACACGTACACGCACACGCGCACACACACTACGTACAGTCAAATCACTTTACAGTATATTCTACGAAGCTCTTTGAGGACGACACGAAGACGCCACGAGACGCGATATCAAATGCAAGGATTATTCGTATTATTATTATTATTAATAATATAACACCACAGACACACAGCGTTCCACAAGCAGAATCGAGCGGGCTCAGGGTTAAAGGGGACGGAACGCCCGAACGGACGAAACGCTCGGGGCCTCACGTCCACAGGGATTGACGTTTCGACGCCGTTAAAAACTTTTCGAAATTTGCAGCCGAGATAAAGAGAGTCTCCCAGCGAACATCGGCGGGCGCTCGGAGCGACGTACGGGTCAGGCAGAGTTCGGGGTTATTTATACGAATCCCTATTATTTTATCTTGTTTTTTTTTTTAGAAAGCTCTGATTCACAAAGGGAAATCTCAAAAATTGCAAATAGTCATTAAATAGACAGGGGAAAATATGACACAATCGAGTCAAAAAGGCAGTTGCTGCTCAGGTCTGTTTTAGTTACTGGTCAGTAAACATAACGGCTCCCACACTGGTATCATACACACACACACACACACACACGTATGTACACCAGGCCCTTCTCAGCTCGGGAATGGTTTCAGCCAATGTGTTTACCCATTGATACTAGCTGGAGCACAGCCCACAACTTCGCCCAGATCAATCACCGCTGGCACTTTCTTATCTCCTCCCTCACTTCTCTTTCTCCTTCGAGCCAAAGCTGACCTTGTGCCAGGGAATTGGCTTCACCCACAAAACGCACAGTCAAATTCCCTTCGCAGTATATCCCGCGAAGAGCTTTGAGACATCTCAATGACCGTGATGAGACGCAAGAGCAAATGCAAGGGTTATTATTGTTATTATTATTATACGAAGTGGGACGTTAATTGGAACCACTGGCTGATTTTTGTTTGCCCAGTTTGTTGGGACGTCCTCCTGACGTGAAAGGCGCTCTACAAATGCAACTTGTTGTTGTTTTTGTTGCTTAATAGAGGGGGCTCTCAAACCTGAGAGCTTTGAGGCACTGGAGTAAGTCTCTGAGCTCTGGCCATCCTAAGGTGCACAGAACGCACCGGGCCCTTGCTTACGCCATCGGTTTCACTAGCACACTGGAACTCTCCCACACCCCCCCACACCCACCCTCCAAAACGTGGATGCTGGATCCCTTACACCTTCAAGACTGAGGTGGATGGCTATTTGTTAGGTCAGGGTGTCAAGGGATATGGGACAAGGGCGGGTAATTGATCTTGAGGTACAGATCAGCTATGATCTTATAGAATGGTGGAACAGGCTCGAGGGGCTGAATGGCCTAAGCCTGTTCCTATGTTTCTAAGTCTCTCTTGAAAGCACCTTTCCTCCCCCCAGTTCGCCCCCCACCCAACCCCACCACCTCCCACCCACCCCTCACATTGCTTGAACAAACCCTGACCTCGTGCTTTAAATAACGCTGTACTTTCAGAAGCCAGGGATTTCCAGGAACACAAGCTGCTAACACTAACCCTCCCTACTCACTCCCCTGCTCCAGTCAGGTAGATAACTTCTTGAAGACACACAGTGCAAACGTGGATAATTCTCCATTCGTTTACAATTCGCACGTTTAAGATGCTCCGGAGAGGGTTAGTGAAGCAGTGCAATACCTCGTAGCGATCTGTCAGAGTGCTATAGTGAAGCTGCAATGTTGGGGCTCAGGACACTGAGTACAGGATGTGCAATGCTGGTTCGAACAGGTGCTTCTGTACCTAGAAGCACGGCGTAATCAGCCTGGCAATGTGTTGGGTTCAGAATTCTTTGAAAAGAAACTTTCCTTCCCATTACTGGGTTACACCCACAAAATACGCAGTCGACTCACTTGACAGTCTAATCCGTTTGAGAAGCGCTTTGAGACGTCTCGAAGACGTGATGAGGCGGCGAGGTCAAATGCAGGGATCTTTATTATTATTACTATTATATTACGTGGATTCCGCTGGCAAACGCAGCTTCTGATTCATTGGGTTATAAAAAATCCTTCCGTTGGATTCAGGGCTTTTTCACGTCAAAAAGTTTCAGACCCTCTTCGCTCTCTGTAGAGTGTACTTGAAGATGAACCCAACAGCCATTGTCCCACACACCTCAACAAAGTGAAGGACCGATTTTAACTGGAGCGTTGGAGTCCAGAGACACTGGGAGGGGAGGGGGTGGGGGGTGGGGGTGCCCAAAATAACCTCAGCGTTTACCTGTAACAAAGCATCTCGCACCAGACGCCGGAAAGCTTGGTCCACATTGACGTTGCACTTTGCGCTAACCTCAAAGTAGGGGATGTTTTTGTCTTGGCACCAATCTTCAGCCTGAGCGCTGGAGACCTGTGGCAGAGAGAGAAACAGTCACAACAGGGCATCTAACAGAGAGACTGTCGTTTTTATACTGTGCACAAGTTCTATTGCCGCGTTTCACCCACAAAACACACGCAGTCAATTCACTTCACGGTATATTCCTTGAAACGCTTTTGAGATGTTTCGACGACGTGATAAGGCGCTGTATCGAACCCAAGGATTATTATTAGATTATTATTATTATTATCATCATCACATTGAAACACCGCAAAAAAAAATGGAACCGTAGTAAGTTACAGCGCAGAGGAAAAAANCGATTCGGGTCATCGTGGTTTGAAAGAGCAATCAGTTCATTCCAATTAGCCTGCCTTCGGGCTTGGTGACTGTCAAGGTCTCTGAGAATCTACCCTACGTGTTGGGTGCTGTCTAAAAATCAAGTTGTACTTGTTATTGTGGTCTTTCGCCTTCCTCAAAACACTGCAAAAAAATAATAATAATAGTAATAATTTGGCCACGACTGTTTGTGGGACGCTGCTGTGCGCGATTGACTGCCACGCTTTGCTCACAAAATGCACAGTCAATTCACTTTACAGTATATTCTGTGAAGCGCTGTGAAGACGCCAAATATAAAATGCAAGGATTGTTATAAACAAGAGGTCTCGCATTGCAAAGGGAAATTCCGCGACAGACACGAGGAAGTTTTTCTTTACCCAGAGGGTGATTAATAATTGGAACAAGTGACCAGCAAAGGTGGCTGAGGACACTGGGACTCATTTAAAAAGCGACTTGATGCTGTGATAAGAGGAAGTTAGGGTGGGTGTTCTGGAAAGATGAGATCAGATGGCCCAAAGGGCTTTCTGCAGCTGAACCAACCTTGTGAACTTTGGGACATCATATGAGCTATTTTGGTGTTAAAGAATTGATTTAGAAATGTTGTATTTTTGTCAATTAGGAATAATAATAGTAGTAATAATCCTTGCACTTGATTTAGCGCCTCATCACGTCTTAAGAGACGTCTCAAAGCGCTTCACAGAATATACCGTGCAGTGAATTGACTGTATATAGTTAGTTTGTGGGCGAAACGCAGCAGCCAATTGCGTCCCACAAACAGTCGTGGATTGAGTGACTAAATTATTATTATTGTTTTATTTTGAAGGGTTTATTACCCCCGGGAAAGCGATCCGCCAATCGACTAACGACCGGGTTCCCAGTTACTGCTGGGTAAACAGAGGCGTGTGGAGTAAGGAAACTTGCCCAACATTTCGCTCTGTCTGGGAACCAAACCCGGGTCCTCTCGCTTGCGAGGCGAGTGCGCTAACCGCTGAGCTGCAGGACTCCACGAATCGATCAGACGTGACGGAGTTGAACCTTTCTACGGACGGTGGTCCGGGACTATTTAAGTGCAAGGTCCTGTTCTTTTAACGTGAGCAAGCGACAGGGCAGAAGCGTTGCGTGGGAACACGTGGGAGAGGAGAAAGGAAGGCAAGAGTTGGGAGGAGTGCGACGCCCAGTGGTAACTTCAAGAAGAGCAGGAAGAGGCGCTGCAAATAAGTTTACCTGAGGGTGAGGGTGAGATGTGGGAAGTGAGGGAGATGGGGGTGGGGGAGGGTGGGGGGATAAGAAGGGAGGAGGTCAATGAGCTGCAGCCTGAGCAGGAATATGAGGGAGAAGGTAATAACGCAATAACACACGCGCACAAAGAAACTAAAGGAAAGCTGAGGCAGGAGAAATAAATAGCCTTTAAAAATATTCCGCAAAGTGACGAGAGAGGACATTTCTCGTGTCTCGTTTCCGCAGCAGTGGCGTTGTTGGCGCCCGATGTCAGTGTGAATGTGGCACACGGGCTCCAGGGCTGGGAGGGGGGGAAGCGAGAGTGAGACGCATTCCTAGGAGAACAAGATTAACTGTCTCACATCCCCCTCTGCTTACCTGTCTGCTCGTCAAGTCGATTTTGTTGCCTAAGACTACGAACGGGAACTGCTGGGGTCCTGGACGCGTTTGGCTCAGGATCTCTTGCCTCCAGTCCTCCAGAGCGTAAAAGGAGTCCGTGTCGGTGACATCGAACGCCAGCATACAGCCATCCGAGCCTTTGAAGAAAGAGGATACCAGTGCCCTGAAGCGTTCCTGGCCTCCAGTGTCCCAGATCTGCGTCAAACCCAAAAAAATACTAACATGGTTCCCGTGCCACGACCTTTAAAATAAACGCACCCTCTCGCCCCGTTTTAAAAAACAGACACACACACGCCGCACGAAAAAGGAAGTGTAAACGCAAGTAATAATCCTTGCTAGTTGACACGGCGCCTTCATCGCGACTTCTCAAACCGCTATCTGAATTCAAGATCCTCACCCTCACCTACAAGGCCATTCACGGCCTCGCTCCCTCCTACCTCTCCGACCTACTATTCCCCTACTTACCTGCCCGTACCCTCCGTTCCTCTGGCTCCGGTCTGCTCCACATCCCCCGCCCCAACCGCCCGACCATCGGTGGCCGGGCCTTCAGCCTCTCAGCCCCGAGGCTCTGGAACCCGTTAACTCGTCGCTAGGGGCCGCCTTCCCTTGGAGCATCGAGTTATCAGAAGTTTACCGTGTGATTGTTTAGCTCTCGCGGCAATTCAAGCCGCGGTCACTCTGTGATTGACGCCGAATTCTAGTACATCGGGACACCGCAGAGCTCTGCTAAAATAACTTGCGGAGGGTTCACCCGCGTGTCTCTGTGCTGATCAAAGAGAGGGAAGAGATCCCGCAGCTGGGGCGGGTTAGCGCGAACATTTCTGACCTGCAGTTTGACCGCTTTGTCGTCCACTGTGATCTGCTTGGTGAGGATGCTTGCTCCCAGCGTGGTACGATAGTCCTCCGTGAACGTGTTCTTCACGTACTGGGTCAGCAGCGAGGTCTTGCCCACACTGCGTCAAAGAAATCAGGAACCACAGAGTCGCTCGACAACAACAGCGTCAGCTTGCGTTTGCACAGCACACCCCCCCACCCCCCAAGTAGTGGCGGAGCATGACACTGAGTCAGGAAGGGAGAGGAGGTGACCGTCAAAGAGGAAGGTCTTTAGATGTGATTTGACGGTGGACAAAGAGGGAGTACGGCAGAAGGTCCCAACTTCCATTACTTATTTGACTAATTGATTAAAGACAGACAGACATAAATAAATAAATAATCCTCACATTCGATGTAGCGCCTTTCGCGTTGGGAGGACGTCCCAAAGCGCTTCACGGGGTTTACTGCCAAGTGAAGCGACTGTGTATTTGTGGACGAATGTGGAAGGCCAATCACGCACAGCCGTGAAGTGAATGAGTTTTATTTGGGGGGCGGTGGGACACTGGGAGAGAGAAACTGCCTTTTCTTTTTGAGTAGGGGAAGACGTCTCAAACGCTCCACAGAAACGTATTTCACACTTACCCGATCGAGCCGAGGATGATTATTTTCAGGTCTTCTGCCTTGTACATGCCCACGTGGGGATCTTGTAAGACACACGTTCGGATTTTTAACTCTTATGGGACGAACAGCAACAGGATGATCGAAAATGTGAGCAGGGAGCCAGTCCCAAGGTTCACTGCGAGGCCAGTGGAGGAAAACAAATAGGGAGGGGGGGGGAAAAAAAGGGGCAGAGATAAATCGGGCATTAACGTAATCATAATAATCCTTTGCATTTTTTGATACAGCGCCTTATCGCGTCATCGAGACGTCTCAAAGCGCTTCACAGGATATACTGTAAAGTGTAGTGACTGTGTATTTTGTGGGCGGAAAGTTGTAAGGCGTCACTGCTATCAGACTGCGGAGATTGGGGAGGGGCGTGAAGGAAACGGGGGAAAGAGAGAAGACGGCCAGGTTAGGACATTGAAACGGGGGAAAGATAAGGGGAACGGATGAATATTCTGATATATTTATTTACCTTTCAAGGGTCATTGCACTCTTGGGAGACAACAACAAAAATCCCTCTCAACACTCCCCCGATAAGAATCACATTCCTTCTCAGAAACATTATTCCCCCTATGAATAATCCTCCGCAGTGATTTAAGGCTTCTCCCAACCTCCACAACCTTACTCTCAAACCTCCCGACTGCAGCGAAACCCTCCATTGGATTCCATCACAGCCTCGTAATCTCTCCCTGCTTTGCATCCTTCCCTATATCTATTCAAGAGAATCGTTTGATTGACCGCGGCTGATCGATAAGTTATTTGGCGATTATTGGTCGCGCAGCCATTCAATTGCGTGGCAAAAACCAGAGTCATCTTTAAATTATTCAGGAAGTTGCAGCTGATTCGTGAGTACCGATGTCCTGCTAACAGCTTTGAGAAGACTCTTGAACATGGCTTGAACCCGCCACCCTCTGATTCGAGGGCGAGAGTGCTGCCCACTGGAGCCAGGCTGACACACCCAGCGTCGAACAGTCACACAAAGTTGCCCAAACCGCCTGTAGCCTCAGCGCAAAAGAAAGGTGCGTGCGCCAACCGCGGGACCCGCGCTTTAGCTGTGGGCCACGCAACCCGTGCGAAGCGAAGGGACCGATATTTCGCGATGACGCGTACCACGGAAACCATCGCTCGCAACTCTCGAAGAGAAATACATCCCAGAGGGAGAGACAGATTGAGAGAGAGAGAGAGAGAGGACATTCATAAAACGCCTGCTTACCCAGATGTAGCAGGGAAGGCACAATAATAGGCCGTAAGGATGAAAGCAATGACTTCCTGAGCGATTGCTCTCAGCCTGGCTCACTGCCCAAGCCCAGGCACTATTAATAACAAGACGTGACTGCAGGCAAATGCTCAGCCCTACTTTGCGCAGCTCCGTTCCGTTCCGAGAGCACCAGAACTCATCAGGAGTGCACAGACGCTGTCCTGTGCTGTGCAGGATCAAAACTCTTCTCACGAGCAAAGGTCCCGAGTCAGCCTAGCGAGAATTCACACGGCTCCGTCTCACATAGCAACGAGGTGTTTCCCAACAGACAGCTGGTTGCTGACACAGACAGGGTGGAACATGTCTTAAGCACTGGCTGGGCTGGTTGCGTGGTAAAGAGGGAAATCCTCAAGTTTAACCCAGGCAGCCAGGCTGCGTGCGTGTGTGTAGCTTTGTGCAATGCAAGCAACGCAAGCGATCAGAAGAAACTCTCCGCAAATAATGGCGTGATCTGTCATTTTAGCTGCCGATTCACACGTTAAACTGAGGAAAAGCATGAGCACTCACCTTCTACCCATCTTTCTACCACTTAAACCACTGCCCGCCTGCTGACTCATTGCAGACATGTGGATGTGATGCGATGCGAAGCTCAGCTGATGTTTAGTCACACAGTGTGTTGTGTGTGTGTGTGAGACAGATGAATCACTTCAACATCTTGTGGGTAAAGGGCTTTCACCCTCAAGCCGCCTTTCTGACGGTGCTTTAAAGGAGCCCCGCGTTTGAGAAACTCTTGTACAAAATACACACCGCAATGTTACCGCCATGTAAAACCGCGTTGCGACACTCACGTGCAAACCTCTCAGGCGCAAACCCTTCACTGTCCAGCATCTTGGGATGTCCTCCCGACGTGAAAGGAGCTGTACAAATACAACTGGTTGGCGTTATTGTTAGAAGTCGAAGGGTTAGCAGTTTAAGCGCTCGGGAGTCGTTACCCTGCGTGGAAGGCGCTATATAAGTGCAAGTTGTTGTGGTGGTGGTTGTTAAAGGCGATAAGGCGATGCTCGTGAAGAGACACAGCACTGAACGTAGCAGGAACTGCAAGCTGAGGGCTGTGGGGGTTTTTTTTGGGGGGGAAATTGTCAAAACATGATCAGTTGTTTTTCTCACAAATTAGAGAAATGACGACTGGCAACTCATGTTGCAACACATGCAGACAATTCTAGTTTGTTAGGTACTGTACTCGTCGAGCATGGATTCATCCTAGCCTTCGGCTCTCAGGGTTAGGGCACACCCAAGTTTCATAGATGAAACCGATAATGATTTGATTCATTGCAGACTTGCCCAGCTTTGTGACGCGAGTTTCATTAGATCCAGTTCATCCCCCCCCACCCTCAAAAGGGATCTAATTTGTATGTAGGGTTAAGCATAATTCAAACATGGGTGTTTTTCTGAGGGGGGGGGGGGCGGAAACAAGCAAATTAAAACAGTATTTTGGTCATTTTCTTTTTATTCTATATGCCATTTTTCAGAGGCCAATAAAGTATGATACAGAATTGGTCTTACAACATTTAAACTGTTATATTTCATACATTTCCATTCAGTATATAAACAAAGTATGAAATGATGCTAGTTTGAACAGAGCATTTGCAATACAGTATAGTACAATGCATTTATAAACATAACCTGATTTCCATAAAACAGAAACATTCAACTTATTGTACATCCCTCACTGGGATTGCTTTTTTTTTTAGTGTAGTCACTTCAATAAATTCATAAATATTCAGAATCAGACTACAATTACTTTTTACTGAAATTACAATACAATTAGTTTGCTTTTAGAGTACCTACAGTTCACTCAATGAAAACAAGGCAGCCGGTTGTATTTAACCCTTCTTTGCCCACGTGGATTAGAACAGCAATTGTGTGTGTGTGTGTGTGTGTGTATGTGCGCGCGATAAAAGACGTTTCTTTTTATATAGAAGTACCAAAGTTTTCAATACAAGTACCGAATGGTCCTCTTAAGATACCAGCATCACGGACAGTTTTCATAGTGCAGGTCGTACCGGCATTTAAGATAAAAAGAAATATACAAATGAATACAGAGACAAAAGTAAAATGGCACCTGGACTGTGATTACGAAACGATAAAAAAATATACGAGTTAACTGGTTTAACAATCTCTCCCAGTAGCCGAGCGGGTAAAGGCACTGCCAGCTACAGCACTTGCCATGCACGCCAATGGCTACAGGGATTGAATCGCAGTCTGTGGTGTTCAGCTGGACTGCAAATAGGAGTTGCTACAATTGGCTTCAGCAAACTGGGTTTTTGGAGGCGTGAGGAAAAGAGGGAGAGGAGGGAGAGAGGTGGTAATTTAACCGGTTATCCAGCCAGCACATCCAACTCATCGGATTCAGTGGCCCCTGCTGTTAAAGGGTGCGCTTGTGGAATGTGGGTCGGGAAAAGTTGGCTGAGTTCATAGTTGGATAGTCTATTAGTGTCTCACTGCCCTGGTGAAGAATGCCCACTTTAGGCGAGATATCAGAGGATATTTGTCAAACATTTCCCCAGCAGGAGTCAGTGCCTTCAGGAGAGGAGGATATTATTATTATCATCATTATTGTTATATTTAATCTATGGCACTAATGGATGGGTCTGGACCAGGGGTAATGCAATCCTTCCTTTGTAAATTGATGGAACACAAATGTGTGAGAACAGTGTGTGGGGGGGGGGGAAAGGGGGGGTGTTGAAAGGGTTAAAAACAACCACCAACAAAACTCATGGACATCACAGCGAAGAAAATACAAGGAAAATCCAGAGAATCTCGGAATTTATGAATGGCCACCGGTTTTTATCACATGAACGGGAAATGTATTCACACACTTGAAATCAAAAGGGGAGAGGGAGGGAGGAAGGAAAATAGTCTAATTTGTCTTTAACAAGATTCCTTAACCTACAGAAACACTTCTCCGATCGGAGCAATCTTCCCATGGGTCAGCGTGACCTACTCACAGTTAATGGAAGGTTCTTATTAAGGTATCCGGTTAGGAAATACCCACACAGTTCACATTCAGAGCAAGTTGAAGGGTCTTGATACTCTTGCATCCAGTATCAGACAGCGAAGTGTCCAACTGGACCTTACAAGCCGCCTTTCTGATAAAGGATAGCATTTCCCATCTAGAATTTAAGTTCCATTTGAACTCCTTTACTCGCTCTCCATCCCCCACACCTCAAAAAAAAAAGTTTTATAGCTTGATAAGGTCGACCAAAAACAAGTTGACCCATTTTTTTTTTAAAACTGTATAATTTATCCAAACGGCTACACATCAGCATTTTACATTTCCCGGGGTGCATCAAATCCCGAGGGCATTCAGAAAATTCCACGATTACCTGACTTCCTTCCGTACCTAGGCAAGGCTCACAAAAAAGCAAGACAATCTACAGCAGAAAAGGTAACAGCATTCAAGAACATCTAAGCAAGTACCTGCGTGCAGTGCAGCACACACAGAGCTACAGAAATGGTCAGCAGATCAGCACATGCACGGGGGGATGAATACCGTTGGACGGCTGGAATGATGGCCTGAAACCTGCTTGCAGTTTGTATTTGTGAAAGAGTGGACGACACGAGTCGACGGGAAATTTCCCCACTGAAACTGGAGAGACTGTACACTGAAATCTACACATTTGCTTTAGCGACCGATCGCAGGCTCTGCCTGTCAGCCTCTAGACATCACCGCTACCGGTCAATAGCGGCGACGTAATCGAAATCGTACAAAGCCCTTTAACAGACGCACAAAAAGAAAAATACTTCCGTAAACTTTTTTTTTGCAAAAACAAAACATAGGCGAATCAGTCTTAAAGAATGGAACCACCTTCCACTTCCACACACCCACGATAATGATCAAACTACTTCTTGGCAAGGTACCGAATTTCATGAACCATTTGGTCCCTAGAGTAGAGAGAGATAAAAGGTAAGAGCGAAAAAAAAGGAAAAAAAATGGACTAAACGCAACAGCAGCTAAAACTCTTGGTTCCGTCTAGACATCTTGCTAACAGTGATAAGGCACTTGCTTCTCACCTCTGGACTTCGCAGGTTGAATCAGGCAAAGCCTTTTGAACTCCAACCATGTGTGTAATCTTTTGACTCTTGGCATTCGTTAGTCTTGGCAATGGTAGCGCTCCACCCCTAAAGTCTCCCTCTTTCCAACAAACATCTGTTTCTCTCCCCATCCCTCTCCGCTCCCCCTTTCAAACAACTCATTGGCTACCGGCCAATCTGAATGGCAACATTAGGCACTTGAGCTGTAAAAGAACCTGCAGCGCTAATCTGTAAACATAACCTTTTAATCCACTCTCCCAGCTCCTGATGGACAACAGAGGTAAGAGTTTGTCTTTAACAAAGGGGGCAAAGGCGCACTTCTGAATGATCGGAACAAAAGGTGTTTAAATCGATGCAAAACGACTTCAGACACGGATACCTTGCCCTGCTGAACAAACAGCATTCCACCTGCGCAGCACAGCAATTGTGCGTGCGTTTTTTTTTTAAAATAAAAAAACGTGTTTAAGGCTGAAGTTACATTCGAAGCAAAAACGAGTTAGGATCAGGAGATGCACAAGAACTTTCCACGTTAGCTTTTGGTGTTAATCGGTTTGTACTGATCTGGACACTTGGTGGGTCACAGAGCTGTTGGCATTCGATGAATAGCAAGTTACAGAACAGATTCATTTCTTCAGTAACAAACCCTATTAAAAGTATTGGAAAAAGGCCTGCGGGCTCCAGCAGTTGAGGGAGCGAGCCTGTACTTGAGCGACTAGGATTAGAGTGTAAATCCGAGTATTATTCCAACTGTGAACTCTCCTGCAGTCAGTGGAACAGAGTATCACAGCACGAGAGCACAGCTTGCTCACCCTTAAGACATCTGGGCTCAAATCCCACTCGTCTCCATTTAGGAAGGAATTCTAGCATTCCAGGGAGTTGAGTCGAATACAGCACCCACCCCCTCCCTCCCCCAAAACAATCTGGTATTATTCAGAATCTTCAGCTAACGCAAAGCAAGAAAGTCTTCAGAGGACTGGAATGGGCTGACAGGAATAAATACACCACAGACTGAGCTGAGTTGTATTATCAGAGCACTACAATAAGAAGAGCCAGGCCTGATCTATTTGTGCAAAAGAGGGTACAAAGTGGAAGAAAGTTCCATTCTCTAGCTGTTAAATCTCATCCTGGTGAGTACACACAATAAGTAATACTGTAAAGCCAGTTAATTTGGCCGAATGACTGAATGAAGGAATGAAGAGTTAAAGGCATGGCACACAGAACTGGCGTAGTTCGAATTTGGTTGAAAAGGGCAAAACTCCCTTAAGAGCAATGGTAAAACTACACATCATGGAAACGACGGATACACGGATAACAAAGGCCACGTGTCCTTGCTTGCAAATTACCATCTTATTCCAGTTGGCAAATGACAAAGAGGTAATTTCCAACTACACAGAACAACCTTGGAACCTGGCGACTTTTGTTTCTTCCCCGCCCACCCCCGTTATTACAGTAAATGGCGACGTACAGACACAAAAAGAAAGGAATGGTTGGTTTTAAATATACATGTATAAAATACGAGCTTTACAGGCAAAAGTACAACAAACGAGTAACTAACTTTTAACGATTAAAGAATCAGAAAAAGTGAGCAAGTCTCAGTGTAAACAAAAACACTAAAAAGCCTGAAATTCTGTTAAACACTATATCCATGCATGGAGGGTTGGCACTTTTTTTTTGGCACATTTTTAATGTTTTATAATCCTGAAAATGTCAAGAGCTGATTACAGAACAAGAAATTGCATTAAGGATGTTCGGTATAAATTGCAAAAAAAAAAGGGTCAGTCAAACGAAACCGTTCTGCTTTTGTGTAGATCGGAAATTATTTCCTGCATTCAATAGAAGGGTAAACATGCATTTTTACAAAATACTAGATGGAGTTGAGACTGGCGACCGGATTAATTGCATTAGTGGAACTCAGCAGCACGTTAGAATCTTCTGCCGTTTCCGTTTTCGGACCCAACAGACATGCTGGCGACTGGTTTAAGGTCGACAACTTTGCTGTGGGTCTTGGCACGAACGTGTATTAATTCAACACAATATTTTGTCCACTTGAAATATCAATTTAAAGCCAAATTCGTACAGTTTAAGAGAATCATCACCAGAAAGATGCACATGAGACTGTTACTACTGCTAGCGTGGAATTCGTACCACTCCAGCCTTTCAAGTCGTTTAAATTTGTAATATGTCCGCAAGGAGGTAGCACATCAGAATCCTGGTCACATTTCATGCACACTAAGCTGCCGTGTATATTGGTTTCATTCTCAACGCCCGCCTGCTGGTAACTAAAGCAGAAGAGTTTCAATGAGCAGAGGCGGTATTTGGAATTTGTAGCAAAACATCCTTACGTTCTGCCAGCATTGTTGCTGTAAATTTAGCCCGTAATTTTTTTTTAATGTTAACATTTCCCACAACGAGACAACAGTAAAACAATGCTTGACTGATGCATAGTAATGACTGTCACTAAACACTTTAAAACAAGCTTCCTGACACTTTAAACCAAAGGGGCAGCATCTGTTTCCCCCGAGGGCTGGCATCTGCTGAATTTCACAGAACGCCCAGGGACAGGAACGTAGCTGGGCATTGAGGAGGGATGGGAATGTTTGAAATGTAGTGAAATACTTGCTTATGCAGACCCTTCAGGCAGAGGCTGTCTCTTTAAATAAAGGCAAAGTTTCACTTTGTTAAAGAGGAAAATGTACCCATGTTTGACACTTCAGAAGAACACTTTCTGTCGAGATTTTTTTTTGAATGGCAAGTATGGCTAGCAGTGGGTCCCAACAAATGAAGAGCTGAAACAAAGAGAGAGAGAAATTTATAAACAAGTGCGACTTTCAACTCGTCTACTTTAGTCCCTTAAAATATTTAATAACATGAATAATAATCCTTGCATTGGATACGTCTTCGAGACACCTCAAAGCAGCTTCACAGAATGCACCGTAAAGTGAATTGACTATGTTTTGTGGGCGAAACATGAGACAGCAGCGTTCCACAAACAGTCGTGGATTGAGTGACTATAATTTTTATAATTTATTTTTTGAAGGGATTATCAACCCCCCACCCCCACCAGCAGGAACGTTGCACGCCACACTTAAATGAGCTGCCAACCTCTACCCAGGCGAAGATTAGCCGCTTGAAAAGTTGACGGAAAGCTTATGACAGGACCGTGCAAGTTATACCAGGGCAAATCAGCAACTTAAGCAAGGGGGGAAAGTTGTGTGTGGGGGGGAAGAGGGGGAAAATGCAATGCGTAGACTCCATGAGAAGCTTTGAAATGAACTTCACTCACAAGTACCCTAAAAGCAGAGTGCAAGGCAAGAGAGACAAGAGAAAAATGTTTGAAGCTTACAACGGCAGATCTGTACTGTTGTGCCTCGTCTTTCTCGACGTCCCGTCATCCCTTGGTAGTGCTTTTTGCAAACTGGACATAGCAGCTGTCTTTTTAAGGTCTATCACAGCGTAAAATTCAGTCCTCCGTGTCGGTGTTGGCGGGACTGGAGTGCTGGGTATTTTGGGCGTCTGGGGGTTGTCAGAGTCACTCCCGCCCTCCAGCTCCACTTGGATGTAGTTCAGCTGCCGTTGCTCGGGGCAGGGCCGCTTGAAGTCAAAGCTGAAGACGTTCGGGGTGCAATCCCGTCGCCGCGTGAAATCCACCTTGTGTAAACCGGGCTGGAGAGTTACATTCTCAGTATTGACATAGTTGCGCAACGGGTCAAAGTTATTGTGGTAACCGTTCTGCGGAGGGGTCGTCTGTTCCCTCCAGTCTTCCTCCTCTTCCTCCTCCTCCTCCTCCTCCCGCCTCTGTGACTGGCATTCCCACACAGGAGGCAGAGAGGGCAGGTTTTCGTAGTTCAGCATGGCTGTCTTCCTGTGAGCACAGTTGTTGATGTTCTGGCTGTCCCCCACCAGCTTGAGACGCCCCCGTCGCAGCCCGGTGCCGGCAGACGCCAGTAAGCCGTTGACATTCTCGTAGGTCATCTTGCTGAAGGCGTTAGCCTCACGGTGATCATCCCCCTCGTACCTGGCATCTCGCTCCACGAAGCTCAGCGCGCCGCCGCTGAAATCGTTGTGGTCCATCGGTATCTCGATCCTCTCGCGCTCCATCAACCGCCTTTGAACAGGGGTCGGGCCCAGGACAAACTTCATGTCCCCCTGCTGCAGGAAGACCTGAGGCGCCCGCTCCTCAGCCACGGGACAATGGTTGCTGTGACTCCGGATCATTTCGGAAATGGTCGGCCTCGGCTCCTGCAGGCTGTGAACGCAGGGTCTTCTCTTCCGGTCCTCGTCGACGTTGGAAGTGTTCACGTACGTGTGAATCTGCAGGGTCAGAGGGTGGGTAACGAAGGCACTTGGTTAGGGTCACTGTAAGGTTCAGACTTTTTGCACTCTTATCTATATATTAAAAAAAATTACTGAATTGTTTCTAACTAGGATTGTGCAAAGCCCACTGGATGGAAGCTTTGATTACTACGAAGATGTACAGCTCTGGAATTCAGGATGCTTTTTTGGGGCAAAATAATAAGATTAACAATAATCCTTGCGTTTGATATAGCGCCTTATCACGTCGTTGAGACGTCTCAAAAGCGTTTTACAGAATGTACTGAAAAGTGGATCGACCGCATTTTGTGGGCGAAAACAGTGCGACAACAATACTAAGTGGCTTAGCGAGTTACATTTTGAAAGGGCCTTGCACGCACTTCTGGTTGGACTGCTGGATTTGTTCTGGCGCTTCCGACCTGGTGGAACTTTCAACCCACAATTTAAACGAACAAAAAACGATGGCCTAACGGCCTCCTCCTTTCTGCCACAAGTTTCTACAGCTCTAAATTCGCCCGAAAACGCACCCACCTGATCGTCAGCTCCTCCAATGAGAGGGTGGGTGGATTCCTCGCCAACCGAGGAGAGGCGGGCACTGCCCACGGAGGGATGCCGAGTCGACGGGTGAGATGAGCCGTCTCCCAGTGGAGGGTAACAAGGGAACCCGTTTGGGAATCCAGGCACGCCAAACCCTGGGGCTGAAAGTTAAACACAAAAAAAAGAGCATCTGTACCCAGCTTTCATGTTGGCAAATTGACCAGCACAGTCACACAGCAAACACACTCCAAAATCTCTGCATATTCCTTCTCCCGCATTAGCAGTTCGTCCTTCAGGATTAGCAGCAGTGTAATTTTGTGAGGATTCGCAATTGCGTGAAATAAAGTACAAAGTACTTGGTCAGTTTCCCCTCCGCTTGAATAATTCAACCAGTTGGAAGCATAATTGTACAGCTATTTGGATCTTAGGCTCCATAGATAAGGCACTGGAGGCCGAGGGCTGTCAAAAGATAAGCACACACAAATAGCCTTCTATCTTTATTCCACCCGCTAATTTTTCCCACTGGAGAAAAACTGACCAAATGTACTTTACTTCATGCAAGTATGCCCAACAAATGAAAAGAACGAACCTAACTATTTTACCACAAGCCTACAAAGAAACACAGTTCTGCCTTTAGAAATAAAACTCTGTTGTACTAGATTAGTTTTATAAAAGAACAGTACTTAGTTCTTAGCAAGACAGTTAATGCAACATAAATACAGCACAACTTGCTCTCCAAAAGCCTAGCCTGTTATCTACCTCCCCACCCGCACACACAAACCCGCCAAACAAAACTTACTAGTTGGAGTCTGAGGTGTCCTCGGTAAATCAAGTTCTGTTGGATGAGTGTTTCTTGATATCATCATGGGCTCTTCAACCACATTAATACTATTACACTGCATGATCTCCTGGAGAAGGTTAAAGATTTCCTCTGCCCGTGCACACTTGAAGGCAAAAATTCCTGTAAAATAATTGCAGGTAACTAATTAATAAAGTTATTAAGGAATTAATTACTCCTGGCATCTCACTGAACTCCTACTACTGATAATAGTAGGAGTTCAGTGAGATGCCACCTCTCCTCTCACCCGTCGACTCGGCATCCCTCCCTGAGCAGCGCCCGTCTCTCCTCAGTTGGCGAGGAATCCACCCAAATCCCTGCATTTGATATAATGCCTTTCACTTAAGGAGCACGACCCAGTATCAGAACCCTGTTTGATTTTCCCCTCGCTAATCTAGGGTGTTTTAATGATCCTTAATGAGAGATAGGTTTCCCTCCCCTAGTCATTATCAAGTGCTAACACCTATCCAGTCGGCCGCGTAAAGAAATAGGTCTATAAAGTGAATGCTACTTTTAAAAACATCTCACATTGACTAAGACATGTAAACAGGTCACAGTTTTCCTGCAGTTCCTACCTCAAGCAGTAGATGGTGGGCAAAAGCCCTTTAAAGATTCCATTCGTCAAAGAAACTTTCTTGGACAATTAACCTCTGAACAAGCAGATACAGCTCATGTATCTAGAGTTTACCATTAGATGGCACCAGTAAGCTTCTAAACTCTGCAACTCGGGTCAGCAAAAGGCCACTTGATGAATTTAATCTTCACTCATCTGAATAGGAGGAGTCCGGATCACAGTTACAGCCAGTTAGTTACAAGCCATGGCATGGTAGAAATCAGTTTAAAATTATCTCTAACTAATTTTAATCGGGATCTTACACGGACGATAGTAATCACGTGCCTTCTACAATGACTGGTAAACAAAGGCTGCCAAGAACCAGCAAGGACAAATACTTAAGTGGAATTTTTTTTTTAAAAAAAAGCTTATTCTAATTATCATTACGACAACAACTTGCATTTATACAGCGCCCTTCACGTGGGGTAGCGTCCCGGAGCGCTTAAACCAGTACCAGAACCGCTTTGCAACTCTCTTGGCCAGGAAGCCACTGAAACTCAAGAGTGATGAATTGCTCCGGGCCAAATCAGTCAGAAGCAAGACACGAGAGATGTTCTCAAGCTCACCTTGCCCAGTCAGGCATCTTCTTCCGCTTTCAAATGAGAAGAGGTTGGAGTCGTAACCATAACGCCGCAGGCAAAGGTACGGCCACCTCACTGCGTCGCGCTTCCTGGTGTGCAAAATCAGCTCAGAGTTGGTCAGTTCCATGATCCCGGAGCCCAGCTCGTTACCATCATCGTCTACATTGGTCACCTGGAGGGCGGAGATACAGAGAAAGAGAGAGAGTGAGAAAGAGAGGGAGAAGAATTTCAAGGTATGCATAGTATATACATTAAATACAACCATCAAACAGGAGGGGAGGGGGGGGCGAGGGGAGGAAGAGGAAAGAGAAAGAGATTGGAGACTTCTGCAGGTATATGCAATTATTAATAGTAATCCTTCCTTGCATTTATATTGCGCTTTATCAGGTCGGCATTTGCACTTCCAACTACATTCAGAAAGCTTCCATTTGTTTCCGATGTACACCCAATACCTTATTTAAAAGCAAGTGTGAATACATGTGCTCTTTTGTTTCTTGACAATAGTAGTTGCTATAGGTCACTGCAGGTGAAATGTTACCTTAAATTTGGTTGGGTGGTTGTCTGGGATTATATCTTTATCCAGACAGCTCCAGCAACTCCCCATGGCTTCAGCAGACCGGCTGATCTCTAAATAAGACAAAAAGTAATTAACGCTCATGCAGTTCAGCTCTCGAGCACTAACCCGGCCATCTAATCCTCGCTTTAATAGAAAACAAAATTAACCTTTGAAACCCTGGACACTGCAATTGTAGGGCAGATTCGTTCCAAATCTAGTGAGGGTTTAGAATGGATTAAGATTTTAAGGAATTATCCAAATTGATCTACTGCATTTGTATTAAAATGTAATTTCCCTGACAAACAAGAAAAACGCTTTTAAAGATCTCAACCTATTATCCACTTTATACTGTGCTTTACACAGTGATCAATAGGTGCTGAGCGGTGTGATGTGGAAGTAAATGGACTCTGGCAGCTCAGGCCACCTTGAAGAGATGCTTTCAGGAGCACACTAATTCCCCTCCACTGCAGTGTGAATCGATTCTGGATCCACCACAGATATGATCCTTTAAAAAGGTTCTCTGCCAGGCCAGGGGCCTCCAGTTTTAAAATCTTGATATGTTAAATCATATTTTTTAAAAACCTGCTAACAGAGTTCTGGGCATAACTTCTATTGGAATTCATATCAAAATTTGCATGCAGAGATGTGTGGTTGCCAATCACTCATTTCTGAACAGATCATTGAAAGCCGATGACAGATGAGAAATAAGTTTAGGATTTCCAGGCGCCGCTCTTTATTCTTACCCAGTCCTGGCCATTAGTGGGATAAGTTCCCAGTCTCAGTCCAAGATGCCTCTGCTTGGCGTCATGATAAACAAACTCAAGGCATCATCAACCACTTGTGCCTTTAACCTGAGGAAAAAGAACAGAGCAGAGAATTTACTTTCCATCTTGAAGCTGTTAATATCACCACAGATTATTCTAGACAAGGACACTGAATTTACAGTTCAAACAAAACCCTACAATATTCCTTCTCTTCCCCCTCTCCATCCCCAAGAAAATAACAAATCTCCAAATACTCAGGAATTTGGTAGCTTCGCTGTCGGTGAGCTTTGGTAGTATCTTCATGGATCACGCTATGTACAGTATCAGCGAGAAATCAGAATGCAACAAAACAAAGATCACTGCAATCTACTGACAAAGAAAGCAACCTTGCAACGTCGCTTTAGAGTCAAAGGATTCTGGAGTCCTTTGTAAGCCAGTTTTCATAACTTTCTGGGTTGTGTCACTCACATCTGTAGGAGTACATTTTCTTTGTTATCCAAAAATGAACAGAGACGTACTGCACCCAAGAAGGAGTTAAAGGCAATCTCGGCACGAGGAGGGTAGAATCCTTTCAAGCCTTTTCTCCCTCAACACAGGACAGGCATCATTTGAACCCCTCAATTGGAGCACTGAACTTCATTTTCAGGAATTGATTAATTGAACAGTGCCTTGCTAAAAGCATCAATGACATTAACCTCTAACTACCCTCCTTGCTTTGAAGAAAGATAGGAATTCATCCAGAAAAGCTCGGTACAACGGGACAGTGCGGGAACAATTGGGGGAGAGAGGGGTAGACAAAACGTGTGGAGTGTACACCAGAGGTCCTCGAGTGTTTTAGCTCTTGATCTCAATCACTCTTCTTTGGTGGAAGCATCGAATAATGACAGAGGGAGCTATCATCAATCTGTTCTCAAATGCATTCTTGCAGCTGTGTCAGAATCAATGCCCAAATGCTCTTAAACTTCACAAAAGATAAGAGAAAATACTCTTCAAACTTCACTGAAACTTTTGACTCTTACTCACTCGTACGAACGAGTTCTGTTCCCTAAAAGCGGGCATTGCATTCGATACGTTCACAACAGCCTATCCGATGGAATTACACAGAAACCATTTGAAAATTAGCCACTTGCCCTGATCAAAGATATGATTCTGCCTACATCAGCACCCAGTCTGAACCGTTAAGTGCTTATAGGCACAAAACATGAATTGCTATGAAGTTGTCAAGAACTTAAAGCACATTGATTATACAATAGTGCTGTGTTGGTAGAATACAAAGTGTTCCCAGTGGCAGGTAAAGCAACAGCAGAACAGCAAAAGAGCTCTATATATAACAGCGTTTACATTTGTTTGTAGCATGAACGATTTCAATTATCAGAAGGACAGGAGGATCTAATGAGGAAATTGGTCCATTCCCATTAATATGGAGAAGATCCAACAAGTGGTTGCTTTACAGAGGTGACAAATTGATACTAATAGACTCAGGGTTTAGTTGCACGGTCAGACTCGAAATCAATTTCCAGCAAGTCAATTTCGTAACGGAACCCAGAGGCTGATAAGACGAACGGGTTACAGATCAAATCTTGTCCAAATCTGATAAAGCTTTTTTACGTTGAGGTCGCATGTCAGCATTTACTGATCCATGCACGACACACACCACCGGGGCTGTTCTCATGCCTACCCCGTTTAGACATGAAACCAGAGTTAATGAGGGGAAATCGCTTAAAGCCCGAAAGGAAGTCTGATTAAATAAATGACCGAAGAAGCTGGTTAATATTGGGAGAAAGAAGGATGGACGGATTAGTGGTAGGGTAGAGGGTGCAAAGCGAATGATCTTGCTTCAAGCAGTGGATTGGAAAATTACAAGTTTGACTGAATAGGTTTGTGTGCACCAATTCCTCAAAGGAATACTGAGAGAAGTGTTTAGTACTGAAGTGCCAGAAAGACCTGATAGAATTGAGTGATTTCTGCAGTTGGGCTTTCCAATCCAACATTCTTTTACGTGCTGATCATCAAATACAATCGCAACCGCAGGTGCCAGCAAAGATATCGGTGTTTTCAGAGCAGTGAGGCAAATAAACTGCCCACACAATTACGCAATGCCAAACTGAAGAATTTAAAATAACATAAACAGGAGACTCAAAATAAATGCAAAAGTTAAATTTAGAAGGAAGATTAGGAAGAACTTCCAATTAGTACAACTGACACTCTTTTGGAACGGGTTTAAGATTCTTTGTGTTCTGTTTTGCAATTTAGAAATGAGAGGTGAAGGAAAGGGCAAAGATCTTGTATATTTACATTTATTAAAGCGCCGAAACACTTTCAATGAACAAACACCTAAAAGCTATTTGGAATAAGGAGAAATATTCACGTACTGACTTCGGGACAATGTACATTCCAACAGATCATTATATTACTAAATGGCAATTAATGCGAACTTTCAAATGGTTCTACGCTTTACAAATCTTCCGTTGATTACGTAATTTTTTCCCAGTCCTGTTTGGTAGTTATCTATTATTATATTTTGTGGGGGGAATTTTTTTTTCTAGGTACAAATCCTGTCCTTTTCTCCTAAAAGGGTTTTGATGCCATTCTTCTGCTGGGTACGGTTCCATAGGTGCCCTCCAGTAACTCAACTATTAGTCATCCATACATTTTGATAGGATATCACAGTGAAACCTAATCCCACACCCACACACCTTCTAACTGGAGAGTGATCTGGAGAGAGAACTCCAGAATGATTTCTAACTCAGTGATGTGAGCTGAAGTGAGATGCAGTGCTCCAACTAAGATAAGCTATCACAACCTCCTGGTCTGCACGCTGTCAGCTCTGAACCGAGCAGTGCATTAAGGCGGAATAAATCACGGCCAGCAATGACATAAGGTGAATATTTCCACTCGCGAGATAACGCTAACTCAATCGTGAGTCATGTTATCTGCTGTGTCTCACGTGGCTTATGACACGATTTACACAGACACCCAATGCTGCAAGTGTGGTTTTTACACCTCCTTGTTCAGGCCCGGTTCCTTTCTAGCCCAAAGGCAACAAAATCTGCTCAAAACAAACTTGCTTGCGACTGTAAGCAACTGTGAAAAGCAGTCATCGACTCTTACTCCCAAACCAAAATGTAATTTTTTAAAATGAAAGAAGCCTCTTCCCCTGCAACTCCAATGTGGTGGGCACCACCACCACAAACAGCTTACATTTTGGGGGGGGAAGAGAGTATGGGATTTGAAGTGATTCCTGTTGCTGCTATTTCTGTCGGAGTAGACCTTGCTGCTAACTGGATGTTGGTCTCTCATATCAAGGTGTTCGGTACTTTACATCTTGGCTGATGTGTTGCTCTGATTTAGGTTTCCAAATTCCTTTTGATGGTAAATTTTTGTAGTTGTCAAGGTGACAAATCTGCTAAAAATGGACCGTTAACCTGAGATGCAAAATTCCTATAGTAAATAATAGAATAATTGACATCGTAGCTGTACATGCACTCAACAGCAGCACGAGTTATTTGTGACGGTATAAAATGGGGCTCGGACATATCGCAAATCTCAAACTCTTATCAACCAAAGAAAGAAACCGACACAGGAAGCACATCCCTAAAGCCAATTAATTTGATTAGGGATAAGCATCGCAAGATGGAGACGTGCAAGAGACAGGAGGTGAACATCTTAAAGAACTCTTTAAGTCATGGTCTGCATCTGGTGGAGTTTTGTTTACCAGAGTTGGACATCGTCCAACAGAGAGTTATTGCAGATGTCAACACATCAGAAATAACCAGGCAACAGATAGTGGGAGCAATGAAGGAGCTGAAAAACAGCAAGGATCCAAGGTTATGTAATAAAACAAGGAAAATATTGAAGTGGGGGCAGAAGGATGAGATGCCAATTTCAAAAATAAAAAAACCAAAATAGGGCAAAAGACAAAATAATCGTTTCTAAATATACATGGAAATATTAGTTGAATCGATGTAACTGACTGATAACACTAGAAATGATACAACTAATTATCAACTTGTTAACAACACTCAACTTATTGTTTTTGCTATACACCATCTCCATGGATGGAGAAAGCAGGTTACAAATTGTTCAAAGGAATGCTTTGGCAAGTGACTTATCTTTCATCTGAGTGTGTATCTATAAGGGACAGAGGTCTGGTGAACTTAACACTTTCTTAGAGTTCCGTAGCATGAATGGATTAGGTTATTCAAGAGATAATAATAATAATAATCCTTGCATTTGATATAGCACATTATCACGGCGTTGAGACAGTTCAAAGGGCTTCACAGGATATATTGTAAAGTGGATTGATTGCATCTTTGGGCGAAACAATCTTTAGTCAGGTTTATTGAAATGCTACTGCTCATTCTCACTGAAGATATTGTTCTCTCTATACCAACACTAGAGCCCAGCCTGAAGAGAGGAGCAAGCATTTTCTAATGCTCCCGTATAACTGACCACTAGGTTACAAGAAGCCAGGGTAAATCTCCATTTCTGCACTTCCCGCCTTGTGGAGAGGTGACTTCTATTCTGTACCTCTTCAAAGTATCTTAAGATTGACAAACTGCCTGCAGAATCCCAGAGAAAAAACCTATCACTGGGACACAACCTATCATTCCACAGATCATTCTAACAACTCATTTAAGTAGTTCGCATAAAGTTCTGGATTTACACTCTGGACAATATACACATTAGTCAAGTCTGATCTCCCATTGCATTGAACAGGGTGTGAGAAATCTGTGCCTGTTCCTCAGTTTCTCGACTGAGAAATATTCTGTACTCACAGCTGAGTAATTCTGTTGGCGTCAAGAATACGTACAAGTAGATGCAAGCTTTCTGTGGTTGACTAGAGAACAGTTTACAGAAAACTTCCTTATAAATCTGATAAAATCCGGTAAACTCCCATGAAAAGAATGCAGTCATAGTTGGTCTATCTATTGCAAACAATATAACAATACATTTGATATATCAATAGGATCTTAAAGCACTTCAAAGGATGTACAGTAAAGTGTAGTGACTGTATTTTGTAGGCAAATACAACAGGTGCAGAAAGAGTTACTTTTCATTAATGAAAC